CCCTCTCTCTCTGCCCCTCCCCCGCTCACGCTCAGTCTCTCTCTTTCTCTCTCAAAACTAAACAAAAACATTAAATTTTTTTTTAAAAAACTGCATATATATAGTTGTTTCAATAGATGCCTGATAGTAAAAACAAGATGAAAAACTTTTCCTAATTTCTATTGGGATGAAATAGATGAGATACTTAGGAAAACTTTTCCTAATTTCTATTGGGATGATTCCCCTTACTCATTTTTAGAAATAAATGTTAAGGCATGGTTAGTGGTTTATTTGATAGGGAATAATTCACCCATTTTTTTTAAGGTTTACTATGACAATAACATCAAGATTTATCACTGCAAATAAGCACCAGGGACAGATCACCCATTGCTTCTAGTTGTGAGCAGAACTTGGATGTTTGGCTTCTGGACATAATGGTGGGATGAGCTCTGCTTGGATGTTGACAGTAGCTTCCAGGATTCCTTTGGGAAGGGTTTCAGTAGGAGGTGATGGTCTTTTATACTCGAGGTCCAGCTGGTCCCCCAGCCATACAGTGTCGTGTGGGTTTGTGCAGCTATGAGCAGAATTCTGGAGCCAAAGTCTGAATTGAATCTAGAGCAACGACTTGTTACCCTAACTTGCAGATGCCAGCTCTTCTTAGCAGAATGTATTTCTTTCCACACGTCATGGCCCTCAGCTTTCACTAAATGTAAGGAGATGGGCTTGATGGGATTGAGTTCAGTTCACTTCTGCAGTAGCCTAGGGGCCCCCTACCCTCTTGCCTCTCCCCACAATCTCCTCTTCACACACTTCACACTCCAACCCCACCTGGCATCCTCGGGCCCCACTAGCCCATATGGTTCCTTGTGCAAATGAAGCAATCACCCTCCTTCCTCAAAACACCATAGAACCATGTTCTGTTGGAACATTGCCATGATAAAATAGGATACGCTGCCTATGATAATTATGATATGAACTGTATGCCAACCATATAGTCTCCTCTCCGAAAGGATCCCCCGGAAAGTTCCAGACAATTCTTTCAAGTGGTATTTCTTCCCCCAAAGCTGCGTGGTTTATTCACTATCTTTGAAATCTGGCAGGCGGGAAGGGAATGAGATGCAGGTGTAGACCAGAGAGATCGACTTCCCCTTTGTAAAGTCAGGCTATTTCTGCTTCTAGAAAATCTACCTGCTCCCAATTTGGACCCTTTCCAATAAACCACAAGAGGTACTCATAAGCTATCATGGGTCTTTGGGAGTGTTACCGTAGAGCTAAGTTCACGGACACATTTATTTTTTGAAGCTATTGTAACGAGAGCCTTACACTGTAAAGAAACTTTCATTTCGAAAATACATACTGACTGTCACATGAATGTTAACATAGTGTTGTGTGAAGCAATTTTATAGTATCCAGAATCTTGTGGTATTCATCATCCCATTACAAGAATTCTATGAGAGGTTAAGTCACCTTACTATAAACGTGAGTCTGAGATAATTAGGGAGCAAGAAACTTGACCAAGTTCGCACAGCTATACAGAAGGGCACAACTCACACTCAAGGTTGTGTTTAAAATATATAATTTATCATATATACATGATCCGTTACAAAGCCAAACAATGTCTGCAGTGCGCAGTGAATAACCGCCCAGAGCACACCCACCCAAGAAGTGTGACAGGATGGCTCTCTTCTAGAACGTTTCCATCTCCAGTGAGTTTCTGGGTGTTGTACCAGTCCTGCAGAGAAACTTCCACACAGATGTGTCCCCTGCCTGACCCCAACCCAAACATATTAGAAATCACCCATGAAGTTGAGTTGGACAAGGCACGTTCCAAGAGTAGGGTCTTTAAAACACATTTTCCCAACTCGGCTTGCATTTCTTACTCTCCTCCACTAGGGGAACCAGGCACAAAACTTTGCCCACATACGAGTGGACGTTCAGTTAGAGCTGGTAACCTCGACACAGTTCCGAGGGGCCCGCTTCCTCCAGTGTGTCAATGGATGGCTAAGTCCCTCCCTTGCTCCTTTGGAGAAGAGTAGGACTTCTGGGAGGATGTAAGTTTCTATACCAATATAGGTGCACCCTGATGAGGGTTATGGAAGCCCTTCAAAATAGGGTGTGCTACTTGCCCTGTGGCCTTGGGCGATCACAGCTGGGAGATGGGCACTGGGCACTGTGTGGGCTGACTGTTAGCCCCACAATCTGCCTCTCTGCCCTTAAGTCACCAGGGTCAGTGCATCTGTTTAAAACAAGAGATGCTACCTTGAGTGTTTGCAATAAGCAGTCTGCTCTGCTCTAGGTGCCTTAGGAACGTTCTGTGACCTTCTAGTACATATCTGCCATCTCACACACTTTGGCCTATAATGGTATTTCTTCTAGCTATATGCTATGAGCTTGATATCACAAATACAGGAAGAACAGATTAAAATAGATTTTTAAAAGATTAAAACCCAAAGAAAGAAGAAGAAAACACGAAGGGGTTTGGCTCAGCAGAACAATCTCCTTGGGTACTCTCAGAATCAGAGTCCACACTTCTCAGGGCTCAGACTCAGAAAATCTTGTCCTGGGAGGTTTGTCCAAGGTCTGTGGCCCCTAATCTTTGTGGAGAGGAGCCTCGTACCTCGTGTCTCACACCTCTCCTCGAAGGCACCTGGAGCGCTGTTGGGAAGGGTCTCTCTGCCACGCAGAAGGCACGAGTGAAAATACAAAAATAAGGACTTTGTTTCCAAAGTGTCATAAATAACCGGGATGGCAGGTATTAAATAGGACCACGGAAGAGGGCACAGCATTACAACTTGTTCTCTTCAAAGAGGATCTGGGCGTAGACGGTGCTGGTGGGGAGGCCTTTGGCGGCCCGGTGGGGTTTGACCAGCTCCAGCTCGGCGTAGGTCAGGTTCTCCTCAGCAATCTTTGGCTGGAAGACAAAACACAAAACAATTCCAGCTGACCACAGGCATTCCGCATCATATATTCATTCATCAGGGGTGCATTTTCATCGCATTCTGGGGACCCAAAGGGAAACAAATGGACAAAAATTTTCCAAGGACATATAAAAATTAAATAACATAACAATATAGATCTCATTGCCTTATAAAGAACACTATGCCCTATAAAGAGCCACTACGATTATTCTTTTTTTAATATATTTTTTAAGTTTATTTATTTATTTTGAGAGAAGAGAGAGAGAGAGAGCATGAGAGGGGCAGAGAGAGAGGAACAGAGAGACGGTCCTAAGTAGGCATCACTCTGGCAGCTTAGAGCCCAACACAGGCCTCCAACTCATGAACTGTGAGATCACGAGCTGGGCTGAAACCAAGAGTTTCATTCTCAACTGACGGAGCCACCAGGCGCCCCTCACTATGATTTATTCTTGAGTCAACATAGAACACTAACAAAAAGCGATTAAACATTAGGTCACAAAGTAAACTTTAATTCTGAGAAGTAAAAATAATGTAACTAACAGTTTCTGATCAAAAGGAAAAAATAAAGATAGCGACAGAAACCCAAAATTCTAGAAATTAATAACAAAATTAGAATGGGCATTTTTCTCGAATGACTCAACCTGTATAAAACTAAAGTTTTGGAATATCTTGATAACAATGAAAAAAGAAAATATTACTTACCAGAGCCCAAAGAATGAAGTACTCACAGATAAATCATAGTCTTAAATATTTATGTTAATACTACGAATTAAATGGGTCGAGCATCCAATTGAAGAAGTTAGAAAAGAACAAAATAAATGGAAAAAAAAAAAAAAAAAAGAAAGACCAATACAATTAGAACCAGACTCTATGAATCAGAAAGCAGAAAAACAGGGGCACCTGGGTGGTTCAGTCAGTTAAGTTCTGACTCTTGATTTCAGCTCAGGTCATGATCCCAGGTTTGTGGGATTGAGCCCCACACTGGGCTCTGTGCTGGGTGTGGAGCCTGCTTAAGATCGTCTCTCTCCATCTCCCTCTGCCCCTCCTCCCCTCAAAGAAAGAAAAGAAAGCAAGCAGAAAAACAGCAGAATTATAAAAATACCCAAAAGCCTGTGCTTGGAAAGCACCAATAAAATAAATAAACCGAAAAATAAATTAATAAAGATAAAAAGGTAAAAAGCACAAGTGAATAAAATAGGAAATGAGGAAGGGGATATAATGTAAATAAATTTTTGAATTAAAAAAAAAAAACTACTTTGCTCAACTCATTGCCCAAAATTATGAAATGCAGGATAAAGTAGGTAATGTTTCAACAAATATAAATTATAAACTCCAGAAAATATGAATGTACTAATTATCATCAAAAAAAAAAAAAAAAAAAAGAAAAGAGAGGAAAGAAAAGAAATAAGGAGGGAAGGAAAAAGGAAGGAAGAAAGGAAGAAAGGAAATATTGTCAAAGAGCTCTTTCTCAAAAACACCAGGCCCAGGCATTTTTATAGGAGACTTTCTAAAACAAATTCTTTTAAGGAAAAGATAATTCCAATGTAATTAAATTTATCCAGAGCATTAAAAGAGGAAGAAAAATTTCATGTATTTTATTTTTTTAAATTTTTTTTTTTTACATTAGAGAGAAAGAGATCAGGGGAGAGGGGCAAAAGGAGAGAGAAAGAGAGAGAGAGAGAGAGAGAGAGAATCTCAAGAAGTCTCCATTCTCAGTGTGGAGCCTGACCTGGGGCTTGATCCCACAACCCTGGGATCATGACCTGAGATGAAATCAAGAATTGGACGCTCAACTGGCTGAGTCACCCAGATGCCCCTTCATGTATTTGAAAACAACCTCATTTATTAATGTAAATTTTAAATCAGATTGACTCAGAATGAAGAAGCAGATTAAAAGATACATAACCATGTTCCAGGAATGCAAAGATGGTTCAATATTAGAAAAATCTACCAGTATAATCCACTATAGCAACAGATGCAAAAAACCAATATGACTATCTCTATAGATGATGAAAAAGCATTTAATAAAATTAAAAAGATTTTTTTTCTGAAAAACAACTTTTGAATAAAGGAGTCACCCATATATATTTTCTTGCCATGATTAAGGAACATTATTAAAATAAAGAATAATTGGTGGCTTATTATGGAGTGATGTCAGGATCACAGCACCATGAGCCATTCTTTTTTCTTTTCCTTTCCCCATCAATTTACAACTGATTGGACATCCACAACTGAAAAGAAAAGTGCCTCTGCACAGCATACCAAAAGATACCCAAGAGATCTGTCCATCTGTGCACTCAAAGGTGGGTGGACTGGACTGCAGAGAGGGTGGGGGGACAGCAGTGGCATTGGCGGTGATGACAGAGAAGGTGTGGGATGGTCCAGCAACCAGCCAGCACCACCTTACTGATACAGGAGCTAGAGGGTGAAGGCAGTGATGGGGTGGGGAGGGGGGGTCTGCCTGGCCATGCGCATTATAGCTGGAGGAAGCAGTTGCTCTCTCTGACTGATGAGAGACCACAGTGACTGGGGGAGGGAAAGGAACGAAAGGAAAGTGTCTCCTGCTGTCTGTCCCAGAAGGCAAAAAGCCCATCCTTGCGTCAGGGTCCCCCTACGTAGCAGTGGGTACACCCAAAGCCCAAAGCACTAAGTACACACCTTCCCTCCTCACTCCTGCTCTGCTCACCGCCCCCCCACCACCAGCACCTTTGTTTTTTCTAAATGCATAGTGCTCCCAACCTTAGCAGCCAGTCAGCTTCCTTAACAGAAGGCAAAAACTTGTGCTATAGCGCCACCTTCTGGAAAACAAAAGGAAGGCTCCTAACTACCAACCTGTTGAACTGTTAGAATCAATGTTAACAAAACCTCACTTGTATGAAAAAGGGTGTTCGCTACTTCAAATGCAGTGGCAGAGCCACTTCTCATCAACCGCCATGAAAAATCATAGTAATAGGTGAAAATCACAGTAATATTTAAAAAATCACAGTAACATGGTATCAGAAAAATAAAATGACAATTTTCCAGCAACCAAACCCAAAGACATGGAATACTGTAATCTAAATGGTAATTCAAAATACTTGTAAAGAAGTTCAAAAGCCAAAAGAAAACTCAGAAGGACAGTACAGTGATTTCAGCAATCAAACTAATAAACAGAAGGCGTGCTTTATCAAAGAGGCTGAAATTCCAAAGCAGAACCAAACAGAAATTCTGGAGCTGAAGGACTGAATAAATGAGAGGAAGGATGCATTAGAACATACTGGAAATAGAGCAGATCAAAAGGAAGAGAGAATTAGTAAGCTCAAGGACAGAAATATAGAAATGATTCAGGTGGAAGAGGAGAGAGAGCTGAAATTTTTAAATAGTGAAGGAATTCTATGTGAATGATCTGACTCCATTAGAAAAGCCAAAATAAAGGGCGCTTGGGTGGCTCACTCAGTTAAGCATCTGACTTCGGTTTGGGTCATGATCTCACAGTTTGTGAGTTCAAGCCCTGCATCGAGCTCTCTGCTATCAGCACAGAGCCCACTTCAGATCTTCTGTTCCCCTCTCTCTGTGCACCTCCCCCACTTGCTCTCGCTCTCTCTCAAAAATAAGCATTTAAAATTTTTTTTTCAACGTTTTTTATTTATTTTTGGGACAGAGAGAAACAGAGCATGAACAGGGGAGGGGCAGAGAGAGAGGGAGACACAGCATCGGAAACAGGCTCCAGGCTCCGAGCCATCAGCCCAGAGCCTGACGCGGGGCTCGAACTCACGGACCGCGAGATCGTGACCTGGCTGAAGTCGGAGGCTTAACCGACTGCGCCACCCAGGCGCCCCAAAAATAAGCATTTTAAAAAATTAAAAAAAAAGAAAAAAGAAAAGCCAACATTATGGGTATCCCAGAAGGAGGAGGGAAGAGAAGGGAAGAGAGCCTATTTAAAGAAATAATAGCTGAGAATTTTCCAGTCCTGGAGAAGGAACTTGGTATACAAGTCCACAAAGCTAATAGGACACCTTACTATCTCAATGCAAAAAGACCCTCTCCAAGTCACATTAGAGTAAAATTGTCAAAAGTCAACAATAAAGAATTTTAAAGGCAGCCAAGGGGGAAAAAATGATAGTAACCTAAAAAAGTACTCCTGTTAGGCTATCAGCAGATTTCTCAGCAGAAACTCTGCATCCCAGGAGAGAGAGGAATGACATATTATATGGGAAGATAAAAACTGTCAGCTAAGAATATCTGGCAAAGTTATCCTTCAAATATGAAGGAGAAATAAAGGCTTTCCCAGATAAACAAAAGCTGAGAGGGTTCACCACCAGTAGACCTGCCTTACAAGAAATGTTGAAAGGTGATCCTCAAGCTGAAATGAAAAAAATGAAAGTACACAAAACTCTGACTAAGGGGATAAACAGAATTAGAATATGGTAACTCTTCTTTAAAATAGTATATTAAACTCTTAACTATAGCATAAAGTTTAAAGGAAAAGAGCATTAAAAATAATGGGAACAACTTGGTAACAAAATCACAGTATAAAGAGAGATAATTTGTGACATCAAAAATATAGAAGAGGCAGAGGAAAAGGATGGAACTTTCATAGGCAAATGAAGATAAACTGCTATCAGCAGAAAAAGAACTATTTTATCTATGAAATGTTTTATGTAAACTACAAAGCATATTTGGTAACTACAAAGCAAATATCTAGAAGATAGACACAAAACATCAAAAAAAGGGGAGGGGGGAGGCTATGCCAATGTCCATGCAAAACTACCTACTTACAAAGGTAGACAGAATCAGAAGGAAACAGAAACACGGGAAAGACAAAATAATCAGAAGGCAAAAGATAAAATATACATATCAATAATCACCATAAATGTAAATGGATTAAACTCACCAATCAAAAGGCACAAAGTGGCTGGACAGATAAAAAAAATAAGACCCAACTATATGCTGCCTACAGGAGACTCATTTCAGCTCTAAAGGCACATATAGGCTCAAAGTGAAAGAATGGAAG